TACATGTTTATAATAGCAAATACCCAACAAACAAAGCCCAAAATCACATGGATCCATGGACCGAATCGAAAAAAGCTCGAAAACTCGAAACATTATTCATCGTACAGACAACACTATTTACCATACAGATGACACTATTCACCGACCGATTTTTTTCTCGACTTTTCGTCCGACTATCTACAACTTTTGATTTTTGCAGTAAATGAAATCTTCAAATATGTTTTCTTTCTCTTCATAAACAAAGGTTTTAAGGCACATTTACAACAATCTCCACCTTGACTTTAAACCGTGTTGATACCAATTTAACAATCAACAACATTGATACTCTCTACCAAGTTGAAACTTTAATCAATAATTTTGATCAAATTCAAACAACCTTTGAATCTTGATCTCGCAATTTGAATCCACTTGTTCCCAATTACCCTTTTCTGCCTAGGTAATTTAACAAGCCTACAAGTATGATTCTTCAACCACCCTTGACTCCACTTATTTTCAAATGTCTCCTTGAAGGTTTTTCTTCTTTTATTTTGCAGTCCTTCAGCCACATTAAAAACATAATATCAAAGGCTAGCATAACTGTCCCTTTGAGATGCTACAATAATCCTCCTTATCTTATCATGAGTCAACTGTTCCCTCACTACTTCTAGCATCCATAGTAGGAAACTCCACCTCAAGCTGATTTTTCTCTGTTATAGTTTCTCCCAGGTTTCTCCCTTGGTTTTCACTATTCTTCTTCTGAAGAAATTCTCTATCAACAAAGTAAGTTGTTTTAACCTCGGCTCTTCCCCAAAAACTCAATAACAACTCAGCGGTAACATACATTTTTATCCCTTGATTTCTGCAAAATTCATTGTACTCCTCTGAAACTTTCTCAAGGCATTCATAACACCTTAAACTCAAATCCCATGAAAGCCTTCACTAGTTAACAATGAATGAATAATAACATTTGAACCTTCTAAAATATATAAATCACATATTTTAGAACCTTTAGCAATAATCAATTCATCACGTGAAATCTTCAACACTTCATGTTCAACTCTAGTAAAATAGCCTAGATCATCAAACATACTTATAGATAACAAATTTCGCTTGAGTTCTGGAACATACCTCACATTGTGAATAAGAAGTTCACGATCATTAAACCTTTTTAATCTGACCGTACCAATACCATGAACCTTGCATGCCTTATTATTACCAAGGTGAACTACTCCACCTTGCACCATCTTCAAAGTTTCAAAGTATTCTATTCTTGGAGACATGTGATAAGAGCAACCTAAGTCAATGACCCAACTATCTTCAGTTTCCAAACTCGATACTACTAGTGCTTCGGCATCCTCATAACTTTCCTCACCCAATGCAACTACAGCTTGAACAAAATCTTCATTGACCTTTCTTTCAGGATAATCCCTTTTAAAATGATTGATTTTATGATAATTAAAACATTTTACCTTTGACTTGTCAGAACTCTTTGATTTGTACATCCCTTTACGTTCACCTCCTCCTCTTGACATATTTAAGCCTTCACCACTATCTTCAAATCTTTCGACTTTGAAAATTCTTTGAATTTCACCGTCGTCTAGACTTCATCCAAAGTAATAGTACCTTCCTTACCATAAATAAGGGCATCCTTAAAGTGCTCAAAGGATCTGGATAATGAACTCAACAGGAGCAAAACCTTGTCCTCATCATCAATCTTCACTTTAATATTCTCAAGATCATCGATAATCTTGTGAAATTCTGTGAGTTGCTCAACTATGGATTTGTTCACCACCATTTGGAATGAATAGAGTTGTTGTTTCAGATACAATCTGTGATCCAAATACTTTGTCATATACAGTGATTCAAGTTTTGTCCACATAGCAACCGCAGTTTTCTCCCTGGCGACTTCTCTTAGAACTTTATCCCCGAGGCACAAGATAATGGCACTTTTGGCCTTATCCATCATCTAGGTCTTCTATACATGTGTAATCTCTGCAGACATCAATGTTTCACTCTTCAAAGCATAAATACACTTCTCTTGAAATAAAATTGCTTGCATCTTAATTTTCCACAACCCAAAGTCGTTGTTATTGGAAAAATTTTCGATCTGCCGTCTACTAACCATAGTGCTCACCTGTCAACAATATCTCTTTTCTCCACGCTCACTGCACCACTTGTTGTGAATCTTGTTGTGAATTACGATAAAATTCAATATCAATTTGTGAGGCAAAGAACAATAGCAATCAAAATAAATGGTCTTCATTAATAATAATCCGTACACAGATAATATAACATAATAAGGCAAGAAAAAACTGAAGGTTTGTTTACCCAGTTCGATCAAACGATCTACTCTAGGGGAGAGAGCAGCTATCCAGTTCATTATACTCAGAAAGTTGTTACAAGAGATTACAGATGAGTTACAAGAAAATAGTCTTCGCCTTCAGGTTCCCAAGAACAAACCCTGAAGGCGCCCAAGAACAACCCTATTTTCTACCCAAGTGTTTCCCTACCTCTTCAACTCTCAATATATGAATCACTCAAACCCAAGGTGTAATCCAAGGTTTTTGTGCATAGCTGAAATCCTATGCTTTACCTTTAAACCTTTGGTCTCCATTGTTTGTGAAAACTCTAAGATTATCACACACCAAGCATATAAAAGATACATATTTATAATAGCAAATACCCAACAAACAAAGCCCAAAATCACATGGATCTATGGACCGAATCGAAAAAAGCTCGAAAACTTAAAATACTATTCACTGTACGGACAATACTATTCACCATCCGATTTTTTTTCTCGACTTTTTGTCCGACTTTCTAAAACTTCTGATTTTTGCAGTAAATGCAATCTTCAAAATATGTTTTCTTTCTCTTCATCAACAAAGATTTTAAGGCACATTTACAACACAACCAATATAGTAAGCTTTAAGTTTAATACAAAGCAAATATCAACCATAGACTGGTCTCTCCAATCTATAAATTAATAGATGAATATTTTATGTCAAGTTCCATAAAATATATGTCTAGAGTTTTACAAAACAAGAATGGATCATTAATAACAAAAATATTCATCATATATTAATCATCACTTGTTCACATACAAAGCCAATCAAAAGAAATACATAAAGTTAAGGTAAACTATCTCTACCTTTGATACCAAGGAAATTAGCTACCAATAACCATGGTAGCTTTCTTTACAAGTCTTGAGAGAAGATGAATGATCATCCACGTCGAAGAATCGATCTTGGATGCGTATCCAGCTTCTATTTGTAAAATTTCACTCTTTGGTGAAGAAATTAAGAAAAATGAGGTTTCTATGTGAAAATGAGGTTATATTCCAAGAGAGTGTGAAAAGTACATATATAGAACTTCTAAAATCTATCAAGCACTTTATGGCACCTGAAGTGCCTCTGAATAGTTAAACCGCCCCTGAGGAAATATCTAAGCTCGCCTAGCGAGCACTTCTTCCCTCAGCGAGCTTCTTTGCTACAAGTTTGCACAACGAACTTATGGCCCTTTTCGTACTGCCTCTAAACTGGGATGGTTCGCTGGGACTTCACTACAACTTTGCCCAGCGAATATTCGTTGGCTGCTCGCTATTGGCCCTTTTCTTGAATTACTTTACTTTTTTTTTCTTATATAACATTGAATTATTTCATTCGACCAAACAACAATATATTTGCTTTGACTAGTCAACTTTGGATAGATTCGATTTTGAAATCACAAACACATTTCACTCTAAGAGATTTTTTTTTATCATCAACCTATTTAAAATGATCACAAATCACTTTGCCTCAATTATCACTTTGTCCTTCTCCCTAATTCAATATTATGCACATGCATGGCTATGTGTATTTTTTTACAGATCATTTCACTGTCAAAACTGTGTAATATGGGGAAAAGGGTTGGTGGACTACTTTTACAAAAATAGCTTTTAAAAATTTTGAATTTTAAATTTCAATTGGTACGTAGAAGACAATATATCAACAACACAAGGTGCTTTGCTAAAGTGAATTTTGTCATTGAGGAATTAAAGCTTAGTGGAACTTCTTTTGAAGAAACAAAAAGAAAAAGGATTAGGGTACCTTATGGAACCTAAAAGACACATGGATTAATATATAACATTAAGATTAGATGAGACATGAGGATAAGAAGAAAAAAAAGAGCATCCATATTCCATATACTATATTTATATTATTCTTTAGTACCCATTCAAGAATAACCCAAATCTGGTTCATGATGATCTTGCTTCACAAAGAAGTCCAAATGGGGACCATACAATCCAAAAAGCAGCATAATTTGTAGTTACCAAAATGGCCATCAATATAGAGTTCTTCATTCCTTTCTTGCCTTGTCTAAATGCATATGGAATTTATACCTTTGCAAATTGTCCTATACCTCAAGATATATTGAAAAATATTAATAAATATGTTTTTTTTTCTTAAATTGATATTTTATTTAATCACTAATTCGAAAGATTAATCTTTATCTCACTCTCTACTAATAAATAATTTAATTTTATTTTGAGCAAAACTCTGGATGAATATAGTAAATAGAGGTGACAAAACAGGTTCGATCAGTCAGACATATCCGTTTTGGTTGTACTTTTTAACGCATGTTCACTCCTCCCTATCTTTTTTGCAAACCAGACAAAAATTTTGAATATGTAATTTGAACGATTTTGCTTTCTCCTTCTCTATATTTTATGGGTTTTTTGTAAGTAAGAGCACAAGTGGTTAATGTACAATGTGTATGAGTATTGGATTTGTAAAAAAAAAAAAGGATAAATATGTCAATTTGTGTCATAAGGAAAAAAAGCCAAAAAAATGAGGCAACCAAGAAGGGCAAATTTGTCATTTAAAAAACTAACTTCCTTAACAACTAAGTACAATGTCATGATCATTCACTCATTTTCACATACATTGATCAACTAAAGTTTCTGACTACACTCCCTTTTAAATAGACATAAAGAAGACACCACAAGAAAAAAAACCAACAGAAAGAAACCAAGAGTAAGAAACATGTATAGGTTCAGCAACACAGTGATAGGGTTCTTAAACTTGCTAACACTATTAGCATCCATACCAATAATTGGAGCAGGATTATGGATGGCAAGAAGCAGCACAACTTGTGAAAATTTTCTCCAAACACCACTTCTTGTAATAGGTTTTATCGTACTTGTGATATCATTAGCTGGTTTCATTGGTGCATGTTTTCATGTAGCATGTGCACTATGGTTGTATTTGGTGATTATGTTGTTGCTAATAGCAGCACTATTGGGTGTAACTGTATTTGGTTTTGGTGTCACTAGTAAAGGTGGTGGTGTAGAAGTTCCTGGTAGATCTTATAGTGAGTATCATCTCATGGATTATTCACCTTGGTTGAAGAAAAGAATAGAAAACCCTAGGTATTGGAATACTTTAAGGAATTGTATTTTGGGTTCTAAAACTTGTGACAAACTTGCTTCTTGGACCCCTTTGGATTATATGCAGAATGATATGTCTCCGATACAGGTACACATTTTTTTATCAGTAAATAACCACCAGAAACTCTCACACACAGTCACGGAGTCAAACCCTGATAGTATTACTAGTATCGACTTTTATCGGTTGAGCTAGAATTTGCAGATGATTTTTTATTTGATATGAAATTGTTATGGATGATGTAGTCCGGATGCTGTAAGCCACCAACAGCTTGCAACTACAACATGGAAGCAGCGATGCTGAATCAAGACTCAGATTGCTACAAATGGAACAATGCACCGACAGTGCTATGTTACGAGTGTGATTCATGCAAAGCTGGTGTACTTGAAAACTTAAGAAGGAATTGGCATAAATTATCGGTTCTCATCGTCACGATGCTTGTTCTTCTCATAGGGATTTATTCCATTGGCTGTTGTGCTTTCAGAAATGCAAGAAGAGCTCAAACGGATTATCCGTATGGCGAAAATCGAATGACCAAAGTTCGACCAAGATGGGATTATCATTGGTAATTCTAGACTAATGTTTTTTGTTGTGTATGAAACTTTATACAAGAAATCTTGCATAAAGATGGTTTATGTTATTTGCTTTTTATTTTTCATAGGTGGAGATGGTTGCATGACAGGAAAGAACAGCTTTATTAGCAGATAAGCTCTACCATCCATGGATTGTGACATTTCACTATTTTTACAGTGTTTTGTTTGTTATTTCTAGTGTCAGTTTTGTAGTTGGATGCTTTTTTGTATAAAACTTGATTTTGCTTTATCTCAATTATCATAGTAGACAATTTGCTGTATTTTGCTTTTTTGATGTTTTTTCTTAATTCAATTCTAATGTATAAAGTAGGCTGAACTATACAATGGGATTAGAAAAGAAGAGAATACGCACCATTATTGAATTTTTATCTGCATATAATCAAAATCTTTCAATTATAGGGGATAGTTGTATGTATGATTGGAGGTGGATAATGGTAACTTTTTTAAAAAGAAAAGTATGCATCGATAAAAAAAAGTTCCACTTGCTATTCTGTTCTTACTGAGTGAGTCTTGCTAAATAATGCAAATAATGCAAGATGGGATAAATAACCGATTAATACTTGAGGATTTCATTAGGATTTCATTATACATAAATATAAGAGACAAAAATATATATCAAACTAAAAAAAATAGTTAGTATCTAATATTTTACATAAAAAGTACTAGTGTATTTTTTTCTAGCTAGTATACCATTTGTTTAATTTTATTTATTTTCGAATTAGAATCAAGAGTAGAAGAAATATTGAAAATTGTAAGCACTTCAATATTTAAGTTAGTGTTTAAATAAGTTAGCAAATTGCAAGTGTGTGTAAAAGAATATTTGGGCAAGTCTCATGATCAGCTTGTATAGAAGAGACAATTAGAATTGTTTCCGATATGTTTGGCGTGGAGTGCGGACAATCGTTGGATGTGATCAACGATTGAGATGAGGGAAGAGGTCTTGTTCATATGCAAATGTCAAAAAGTGAATGTCTTCTTGTGTGTTAGTAAGTGGAACGTCTTTTGCTAGATTTGACCTATGAATTGAGTCAATCATATCGCGCTTTTGGTCAGCCCGTAATAGTTGGTCCTTATGTCTTTGCTATCAATGTCGTTGAGTAGCTGTCCCAAGAAAAGAGAGTTTTAATGTGGCATTGAGGCAATTGGGATTAGAAACATGCACAATAATGATTCTTTTATAGATAGGAAATTATTAGGGAGGAAACATTCACATGCACTCACGCGTGTGTGGTAGGGTGATGGCGCACATAGGTGTATTCAAGTGCACTTAAGTGCAATTATGGGTTCAAAATTTCATTTAAGTCGTTGGATGTGTTTGTTTATCTTTTGTTGAATCATAGTTGTTGAACTTGACGTTATTCATGGATATAAAAGGGGGACTTCAATTTCATTTTCATTTTTTTACTTCTTCACCTTGTGTGCTATTAGAGAGATTTTGTTTCTGATTTGTTTGATTGTCACTGCGATTTTTGACTTACAGATCATCCTATTCGAGATTTTTTCGCATTCTTCACTCAAATTTTGATGACGACAACAATGATTAAAGTCGGTGGCAATAAATTCCAACCTTGATAATGGTGATCTAACCAGATAAATATATCATGTCTCATCAACAAAAGGAGGCTCAAGATTAAAGTGCTTATATGATCAAAAGCAATCTAGCAACGAATCTTGAAGCCTATGATAAAGTGTGAAAACTCTTCCGGTCATGTTTGTCTACTTGATTGGATCAAGTTTTGTAAAAATAAGAAAATAACTTAGAAGTACTAAGGCAACTGACACATACGCACCTTAAAATATGTTTTTCAAATGTTTTTATCTTAAAAAAATATTTTCTAAGCCAAGGCAAATGATTAAAAAGTTATCAAAATCTTTTCCACACAATTTTTGAACTAACCAATCGATTGGTAACTTGTATCAATCGATTGGCAAAAAATTTCTGAGTATGTCAGTCGATTTGAGCATTAAGTTAATCAATTGGAGAAGGACTAATCGAGTAACCAAATGATTAGGACAACACATTAATGACTTGCAATGAATTTATATCCAATATTTTCTATATGAGAATGCTAATTAATTAAAAATGGCTTGGCCAATCGATTGGAGCATGATGTCAATCGATTGGCTCATTAATTCAGCCCATGGATAATTTCCTTTTTTGGTCTCGTCTTCATTTCACACCACTTTCCAACGATTCACATTTTCTTTGGAATTCATCTCTCTAATTTCTCTCTCCATCTCTCTCTAAAAAATATTGCCTTCACTTAAAATTTCCTCAGTGCTTGTGAGTGAAACTTTGCTTGCGAGAAAGAGTTTTGTAAGTGGTCATGTTGTTTGTTTAATTCTTGGGAGTGTGATACTATTGAGAAGATTGAGTTTGATTTGTGAGATAAACCAGTCATAAAGTCTATGTTTTTGGTTTATTAAAGTTTTCCAGAAAAAGTTATGCTTTAGTTATTGAGATTTACCTAAAAATCTATAAGAAGGTTCATTAGCCTAGCCTTTGGTAAAAACTATATTTGGTTGGGGATAAGCTTGTAAAAATCTTAAGACCAGCTTGTATAAAGGTCTGTGAGAACAACCTTCAAAAGCTCAAAGTTTATAGTCAAACTCTCAAGAAGACTTCTTGGGAACAAGACTAGGCCAACATTCGGTCAAACCTGTATAAATCTTTGGTGCAATATTTCTAGCCCTATCCTTTTAATTTCTGACATTTACTTTTGCTATTTATTTTCGATGCAACTCACTCATACGAATTTACTAACACGATCTTAATCGAAAAAAGTATAAAAGTAATCTCCAATTTTAAATATCATAATTCACCTCCCTCTTGTACTTGTAGTCACTTGTTCAACAATTGATAGGTGACATTCCTAAAAAAAGTTAGATGAAGAAGTAGAAAATACAAAATGTGGGGATTTCCTCAATACAAGTGCTTATTTTCTAGGATGAGGCTCACCCTTCTTTTAATGACTTTGAAGTTGATGTTTTAGGCCATTTAGGCATTTCCCCTTCACAGTTACACCCTACAAGATGGGCTTATGTTAAGGCATTCCTACATTGACGTTATTCTTCCACTTGTTCCATGTTTAGAGAAAATGTATTGATCCCGACTAGCCTCAATGGCTTATATCTCCTTCAAGCAAGGTAGAAATCTTTTTGAAGTATATATGGATAGATTCAGAAGATTCAAGGATAAATATTACATTATTGCCCCCATTAGTCGTGTTACTCACAAAAGTCTTTGTGAGATTCCACTAGCTTTATTTGAGACCAGAGAAAGGCGATGGGTTAATTCTAAACACATTGTTTCTAAAAATTATTTCACGACCATGCTAAGTCTATAAAGATAAGTAAATAATTATTTATGATATTCCCCTTCTCCCCGATGAACTCCCCTTCCATTATGTTTAGATAAGTTTCTAAAGTTCTGGATACATAATATTTTTATACATGGTCTAAGGACATGTATTTAAAAAATAGGCAACTTTTTTTAACAAGGAGACAATGACGAGGAGGGCCCATACGAGATTCTGGAATAATCTTCGAACTATTGAATAAGTTTACCTTAAGATGTCAAACCTCCCAAGAAAAGAAATGCTACATTAAAAGTCTCTTGCTACTTGAGGCGATGTCGTAACTGCAAAAAAACAATCGACGGAGAAAAACAGAAGAGTCGTCACCGAACATTATTTATCTCAATGCAGGGAAAGGAAACGATCGAAGAAAACCTAAGAGAAAGGAGAAGACAAGGTCATTGCAACCAAATCTTGGGTTCGGGAGTCGGTTACGCAAGGGGAAGGTATGAGCACCCCTTATGTCCGTTGTACTCAACAGGATCCACGCTTGTTGTCTAATCAAAGGGTGTGTTATCTAAAATTTATTGCTAAACGGAAATGGAAAAGAGAAAAGAAAAAGGAGACTCGATAGGACATCGTCGCCCTATGCCTACATATTCCCTCGTGTAATGGGAATGTCAGAGTCAACGTAGTTCGGAAAAATATGAGTGATGGGGGAAGGTTGCTTGCCAAGACAACATAATCTTGTGCCTACGTATCCTCAAATGGTATGAGAAATCAGAGCAGACGTAGTTCGGAAAACTACGGGTGAAAAGGGGAAAAGGGTGATCGCCAAGACTTCGTCGTCTTGTGCCTACATATTCTCATCTGGCATTAGAAATCAGAGCAAACGTAGTTCGGCTAACTAAACCACAGGTTGGTTAAGTGTTTTTTATGAGCGACATTAAGTTCCCATTCTAGAAGTTAGGGTCGATGCCTGTTTGGGGTAGAACGGAAAAGTAACGTACTCTTTTCTGAAAATGAGTTTGAAGGACAATCCTGAAGGATAAAAAGGTTTGAATTTTGTTTATGAGTTTTTTAGAGAAATGAATTGACTGGTTTGAGATTCACGTTGCATTAAAAACTATGATATAAGAACGAATGTGTCGCATATCGTCCCCAGACGGGACATACACTAAACACGCTAGACAAGTAAGGACAGACCCATCACTCATCATTCCCCATATGCTTAAGGCTCGTGGCGCACAATGTTCGTCGTCTTTATTAAGTGTCTTAGAAATTGTTTTGAGATGAGAAGAGAAAAGATACAAAGGGGTGAAAAGAAAATACTAAGAGAAACTGGATCCTAACGTTATCATGTATAATAGTCCTATAGTTGAGATAAAAGGGAAGTCTACCTAATGTTATCATACAAATGATGACCTAAATTTGAGGTCAAAGAGGGACTATCCTAATTGTTATCATGCAAAGGATTGAAAGCCTAATGTCTCTCCTACTCCCAACTTAATCAGAAATTAAGTGGAACTAGGAATCCTAAGGGATCTTGTGGGAAAGCACAAGTAAACACCATACTAATAAATTATAAATGAAAATAAAATCAAGACTTAAACAAGTCTCAAGAAGAGAAGAAATATCAATAAGAATGGAGAAGAATGAAGAAGATGCAACATTATGAACAAACATGAAAGTTCAAACCAAAAAGGAAAAACATCAAATAAGCAAGCATTGATCTCAATCACACAAGAGGAGCATTAACATAATGTCAAAGTAACAAGAAATTAATCACATGGCAAATCAAACTCAAAGATT